TGGTCCATCCACTGTCTGTACCAGCCTGTAGTGAGATTTTGACACCCATCTACACCAGTGCTTCAAACTTTTTTTTTTCTTCGTTTTTTATATTACAATAATAATACAATATTACAATAGTAAAATGTATGACATTGAATGATAATATACACAGGCATTACGGTATAAAAACCCCAACGATGAAATGAATAATAATTGTAGTGAGTGGCATGTGAAACATACTGTTTAGGTCTTACCCAGTGAATTATAGTATATGAATTGTGTACTCATGTAAGTTAATGCAAAACTAAAATCTCTTCAAAAAACAAAATCTTCCTCATCTGGTACCTCCCGTCACTATTAGGCAAAATTATAGTATTCAACTTTAATGTCATCCAGCAAACATGACACTAAATGCAGGGAATGGTGTCTCTCCTTGAATGTAAGTAAGTAAGCAAGAAACCACAAAGAGTGAGAAACTGAGAGAAACAGTATTTTAAAAAAAGAAAGAACAAAACTAAAACAATATTAACATTTCATATATAAATAAGCATGTGTACAAATTAATATACACAAAACCTGTACTGTACCTGATTTAAAGGCTAATCCTATGAAAGCCCACCCATCAAAACAAATGTTGGTAATGACAGCACACTCAGAAAAAAAGAAGTAAAAGTCATGTTGTTATCAAGCAATAAAAAAACATGTTCTCTACAGCCACATTTAGTCGATGTGTCCAATAACAAGTTTTGTAACAAGTCAAACAAGTTTAAGTTTACACTGTTCTATTCAGATGCTACTGTGTCAATACTAATTAATGGCTAATGTTTGTACTTTCCTCATTTTGAGTTGCTTACAAATACTCATTTATAATCTCAATTAATCTTTGGTTTCAAGTCCAAAGTATTTTTGAGTAGTGAAAGAAAGAAATGCTGCTGTGTGCACATACAAATACTTTTGTAATGTTAACTGTTAACATTTAAGAACAAAAACAATTCTACATAAAATTTAAGGCATAAAAAAATATTAATGATGACTGCACAAAACTTTGAACATTTGTATTAATCTACAGTAAAATAAAAAAAGGAAAACAAAAAGTAGCTTCATAGAATTGACATAAACTTCAAGATGCTGGGTTCATGTTTTCTTCAGATGCTGGAAAATAATTGATTCATTGATTTAGAAGAAAATAAAACTAAGATTCAATCACTGTATTTTTCCAGAATCGTAAACAAAAGGCATTAGCAAAAGTGAATGTACTCACTAGAAGCAGCAGAATAATCACTCTTTAAGGAAGCTATAACATGAAAGAAAATAAAAAATAGAATTATTAATGGCAATTAAAGATTGTATTATAAATAAAAGTATCACTGGATGATTTACCATTCACTTCAGTTCTTGTACTACCTGCTCGTCTCCTTCTGCATTTACATATGATGATTCCAGACACCAACACCAGTGTCCCAAACACCAACACCAGAGCCAAAACTATCAGCACTGAAGTAATCACTGATTTAAATGGTTCACCAGGGTCAAATTCTGAAACAAACGAGTTTAAAAGGTCAAAAACAGATTAGAAACTCAGGGATAATGGGATATTTTATCATTTTAAATCCTTACCCAACTCAATGTCCAGTTTGTTGTCCAGACTGAGGTGTGTGGACTTTTCACAAAAACAAACCTGTGTGTGTGTGTGTGTGTGTGTAGAATAACAAATATATATATTCTACATATATATATATATATATATATCTCTCTCTCTCGATTCTACATATACAGTATATGTAGAATCAAAATGTCTTGGTATTGCAGAGTACATTGCACAGTATTGACACCAGCATTTCAGGCAAGAGACAGCTATAAGCTAGATTTTAAGTGAGAACTGTATTCTGCAGGCAATGTGACAGTTTAAAATAATTTGCAGATTACTTTTCATTTTAAAAGGCTCTCCATTTCTAACATTCTATTTACTCCTTAAAATAGCCTATTGCAATATTTGTGACTATCACATTCAGGTTTTCTGAATATTCTTCATTATTATTATTTTCATTTATTTGTTTTTCGGTTATTTTCATCATCACTACTAGCTGCAATACAAAATGTATTTCTAATGGTGAACATATAAATATAACACAGTGTCCTTATTATAACTTTAAAGAAGAAAAACTGAGGTCGTTGGTGGGATTCCCAGAAAATGTATGAACTGATACGTGAATGCGATGTACTGTAAGTCGCTATCCATAAATGTGCATGCAAGTAACAGGCAATGAGTCAACAAGCATGGTATAAACAAGAAGTTCTTATGATTCCACAACAATTACCTTTTGGCCCAACCACTGGAAGTACAATGGTGATAGTGAAAATAAATATGTCCATACTGGCTGCAGTTTTCAGTGCAATGTGTGCTGCAGTAATGGCAGAAAAAACAAACTCTGTATTCTCAACTCTCAAAGGTTTGGAGTCAAAAGGACATTAATGCAACGATAAGTGAACTGAACTTAACACCCCTTTAGCTCCTACATTTTTCCCATGGGGCCCTTTGGCATCCATTGGGTCACTGGAATCACTTCTTTGGTGAAAAAAAATCTATGAAGTGCTCAATACAACACAAATAAGTGCACATTTATATTTTAATGCTTATTTCCTAAATAAGTCAAACATTCTTTGAATCAGACCACTAGATGCCACTACACGCATTCAGTTCAGATAGCAGCAGCATGGATTACTCAACATCAGCATAGTCTCTGTCACTTCAAACATATATGGTATTATTATTACCATATATCCACCATATGATGCTTTTTTAGAAAATATATACAGACCCTCTTTTTATAAACTATAGCAGTTCAACTATTACTTTTTGTTAATGTTTTGTGAAGTGTTCCATACTACACTAACATGAACATCAGTAAACCACGAATTGTAATTCTTAATATTGACTTGTAATAGCCTACACTCTTAAAAATAAAGGTGCTTCACGATGCCATAGAAGAAGCTTTATGTCTAAATGGTTCCATAAAGAACCTTTAACATCTGAAGAACCTTTCTGTTTCACAAAAGGATCTTTGTGTCGAAAAAAGGTTCTTCAGATTACAAAAAGGTAAGAAAGAAATGGTTCTTTAAAGAACCTTTGACTGAATGGTTCTTTGTGGAACCAAAAATGGTTCTTCTATGGCATTGCTTGAAGAACCTTTTGAAGCACCTTTATTTTTAAGAGTGTACTCAATCGGGCAACTATTGTATGTCACCACATACTTTCAATTCAGATGGATAAATGTGCAAACAGGTTTTGTTTTGGGACAGCATGATCTCTGATTGCTCACTTTTAAACTGATAAATTGATTAAATTGATCGATTGATTAGCACCTCAAATGTTACAATAACTAAACGAAGCATTAAACAAAACACCAATATCTTTTTAGCTCTCTCAGTACCGCTCTTATCAATAGCCTTGTTACAAGCAACCAATAAAAAATGTAATGAGCAGAACATACAATAAAACTATGACACAGTCAGACATACTGTATAGCCAGACAGACATGGGTGATTCCCCCCCCAAAAAAACCTCCAATACAAAAACAGCAAGCAGGATCAATGACAGAATGCACAAAATCAGACCCAGCAATACAGTAACAATAAAGAACATAAATCCACCATAAACCGCTAGAATAAACCCTCTTGACAACACCCCTGTCTATAAATAAATTAATTTGAACTCCTCGTAAAAACATTACACATTTAGACTTTAAGGGATAAACAGAGTAAGCTGTTAATTCGCTGTTATTCTAAATGAGTAAGTAAATCTCAACTGGAAATCTCACAGCCTGTCAAAAGCAAATATTGCAACAGCTCAGATGTATCTTAAATCCAGAAGATGTGATGGTTTGATCTCATTGCAAATAGGATGGATGTCTTCAGAAGATTACAAAACACCTTCAGCATCTGTACATGGACATAAATGTTATTTAACATATAAGACACTAATCTGCATAGCTGTTATTCCATTATGAGGATGCTACAGTAATGTTAATTTGTATCAAACTGGTGTATTTTCATTTTATCATGCTCCAGGAAACTACATGCAGACATTTAGCAAATGTGACTAATACAAACAAAGCATAGGCCATTATACACAAAGTGATCTTGTAAAAATTCAATCGAAATCTCGAAGTAACCTCAAAGAAACACATACCAGAACATTAAATTAGGCCTACCTCTCTGTCTTTCTGCTCGACTTGTCATGCAAATTGCTATTGACAAAATCACACATAACAACAGCAGGACAGCAACACCAGATAGCAGAACACCTATGTGATATCTGGAAGGTGCATCTTCTAAAAAAGGAAGAATTTAGATTAAGATCATTAAAACTTTATCAGATCCTTTCTGTATTTGTAAGAGCTCATTACCCAAAGTGACGTCCAGTTTGTTGTCCAGACTGAGGTGCGTGACAGAGCAGGTGTATTTGTGTTTGTCTGCAGCACTGATCTCCAGACTCTTCCTCATCTGGTACGTCCCGTCAGCATTGGGTAGCAGATCTCCTCCAGTGATCTCATGATCAGCTACAGGCTGCCCATCTCTGAACAGGGTCATGTTGATGTGACGAGGGTAAAATCCTGTTGCCAAACAACTCAAACGAATCCCTCCAGAATCTGAGTTTGCTTTCTGGATGAATCTGACTCTGGGTTTCTCTGCAAAAAAAAATAATAAAAATCATGAATATGAAACTCTTTTATATCATAACTGATACAATTTAACATTAGTGTTAAAATTATGGCACTCAGGAAATAACAATTTAGACTTAAGTATAATGCCAGGTATAATGTCAGATATATTTTAATAACACACATCCTTGGTCATATTCAAAACAGAAACAAACATTAAAAACAACTGGTACTTTTAACCAGGGACGGATTATAACGCAGCAGCACCCTGGGCATGGACCGATTAAAGGCCCCCCTCGGTTGAAATTGCGTTCCTTTTTAATTTGAAATGTTCCCAAACATGTTAACTACGTGATAAAATATCACGATTCTCAAATATAAATAAATACATTTTGCACCTTTATAGATCATGTTAGTTGATCTATAATGGGCTATGGGAAAAGTAGCCTAATATTAGTGTAATCTATTAACTAGCCTATGCATAAAACCCGTCTTTTAACTTGTACCAGATATGGGTGTCACGTCCTAAAATATTTTTAATACGACTGACTTTGTATTTAACAAAAATGTAATAAAAACATTGTAAGTTACTAATTAACACTTTAATTGTCCATAAAGAGAGCAAAGAATATTTGCATTATCAAAGAACATTATCATTGACTTTAGTCAAGCCAGAGTTCAAGCACGCTCAAAAACTCCCGTTATAATCGCTGAAGCTATTTACACTGTGAAATGAATCTCTTACTTACATCGTACACACGTCGCCAGTTCGCCAGAGAGCAGAATTCAGTCAGCGTCAGCGAGCGCGCGCACTAAACAAAACAAGGGCTTTTCAGCGATGACTCATCTGAACGCCTCTGATTGGCCATTGAATTCATAAGCTCAACAGAATCGTATGTGATTGGTTATAATGCGCGTCTGGCTCCGCACCAGCTAAAACGTGAATGCAGATTGGAATTTGGCAGCTGATGTGTTACACTGAACATTCTAATGACAATGGTGTGATCGTATCAAATATAAAAAATATATTATTCTGCCATTTTTTGTCTTTTGGAAGCTGCATTCAAAATCCACTTTGCTTAAAATCCTGAGGGGGCACGGTTGAAATCGCGTTCCTGGAGGAGCAGTATTTCGGCTGGGCCCCCCTCTGGTCTAGTGCCCTGGGCACGTGCCTGTTAATCCGTCCCTGCTTATAACACAATTTGCAGCAGCTAAAATGTTTGTTGTAAGAAGTGGTCTTAAGTAATTACCCTTTCTATTTATTTCATTTTCTCTCTTTTTGAGGTAATTCCTGAGAGTATCTATACAAACTTTGTGATAGAATTTTTCATATTTCTGCTTGAATTCTTCCAGGTGGGGTTTGAGCACTTCTTGTGTAATATTTACAGTCACAGTATAAGTAAAGTGGTTGTTAAAGTAACACAGCTCATCTGTGGTGCAGCCTCCGGCGGCATCTTTAGTAAGCATCTTTCCAGGCTTGTCAAGTTCCAGCAGCTCACAGACAACCAGTGTCTGATAAACATCAAGACCTGTGAGGAAAATTAGGGAGAGGATTGTGTTGGACTGATCTCCCTCATCACGCAGGCAAAATTAACTCTCTGTATCACCCTGACACATTTTTTTTTTTACTTTATTCCTCTAAAAAATATCAAAATCAATTTTAAGTCATTGAAAATATTCTCATCATAGCGACTGTATAGCTATGTATAATTAGATCAATACACGAGGACAAAAAAATACCATCACATCATTGGCCTGCATACTTACTGTCATTTTGGTTGTGTTGCCTTAACAGTGCAGATCGTCTCACGAAGGAGTTATACATATAGTCACTTATACCCTTTATGTAATCTGAATCAATCACATCATCCTCGTTCGTGGTATTCCCTTTTGGAAAATAAGTCTCTGAATTATAGTATCCAACTGTGATGTCATCCAGAGTTGTTATGTAACTAAATTTAGGAAATTGTGTTTCTCCTTGAATATAAGTTGAAAACAACGACAAAGAGTGATGAGCTGAAAAACAAAACGATTGTTTTTTAATGAGTGGTTGTTTTCTAACTATTTGTCCATCTAGTATACCGAGAATACTGAGAATACATGGGTCTTGATTGAATAACTTGACAATGACTTTCAGTTTTATGCAATGCACTATTATGAAGATCGGTAAGGAGATACCATGCGACAGCCTTTATAATAATCTCGAACTGAATTCATTGAACAGCAATACATTTTGGCGATCTAATCTTTTTGGAACTTACCGTTTGAAGCAGATGTTAGAGGTAAAAGTGCAAATAACACGATGATTCTATCCATTTGCCCTGCATTCTTTCAGTCCCCTCATGTTATTGAAAATGATCTGCACATTATTCATCTAGTATCTTTTAAAAGGTAACAAGTTATACTTTGTTTACCGGCGGTTGCTCTCGATTTCGAAAGAAAAAAAATCTTGAATGTCTTCTCTAAAAAATATCAGGATGCATTGTTTTCCGCGTTCCATTCCTTTTAAGCGTACAATTTGCTTATGCTCTGCGCCTCTGTCATTATTCTACTGTACAAACTGTTAACACAGTAACGATTGACAATACTATTATTTTACAATACCGTCAAATTTTCTACAAATACTACAAAGATTACAGAGAATGTAACGTCCTACATTTAAGCAAAATAATAATAATAATAAATAGTTTAGTAGTATATATGGCCTATATGATGTCAGCAATTTGATCATATGTTTCGGTTCCTGACAAAAGTATTTTCGATTTTAAGTTTATTTTCATATGATACAACAGAAGAGTAGAGTGCAGTATGATCATTGTTTTGTGGTTCATCAGAGTATTTATTTGATTACAGAACAAATCCAAATATAGCAATCAAAATTAACTTGATAAACATTCAAATACTTTAAAAGTTTTTTTCTTTATATACACTGTCCACCTGGTTATGCTATGCAAAAATGTTTTTATCATTACACATATACACAAAGGAGACTAGCATAATTTGTTTTGTCTTTGTGGTTTTTAAGCAGATTCTGCCATCAGCCAGTCTGTGATTTCTCTCTGGTTTTCAGCCACCCATTTTATATTGGCTTTTGTCTTCTCGATGGCCTGTTCCAGAGCTGCTGTCCCTGATCCAAAGCCGATCTCTGCATTGTCACTCTTAAACTGCAGAAGCTTTTCACATGTTGAGAGATACGAGGGGGAGGGGGAGGGGGGGGGGACAAAAAACAAAACATAAATTAATTAGACAAGTAACCTGTTCAACCTGTTTAGCAGTTTCACATGAGTTCAGGTGATGAATTCAATTCTTACAATGTTACTGTTTTAATTATGTACCTATAGAAAATACACACCTGCTCAAGTTCTGATTCAGTTGAAAATGTTTTGGTTATGCCACTTATAAGGCTGGCAAAGTTAAAAGACCCCACACCATACCTAAGGACACAAATGCATTCTGTTCATCACATTACTGCATTTATTTCAATTCATTAAAAAGGACAAACTTTGCAGTGATCTTGTATATGAGCATTTGTGTTGTTCATAAAGCTTACTCTGTGAACATATACACCCAGTTCTTCCTGACAAAATCCCAAGCCAATGTCTGACCGTCTGGGTTGCTGGCAATATACACAATGACAGATGTAGCGTCCTGTTTACGGATCATTGATGCGTCAAGCGTGTATCCAAGGTACCTATATTTATGACAATAATAATAAAAAAATGTTATTCCTTTAAAAAGTTTCTATATGTTCCCAAAGAACAATATATTTCAAACCTTTCTAAAAGTGTGGAATCTTTTGCACAAGCCAGGGCTGACATGAGTTTATCAGCTTCTATTCCGATGGTGGCGGTCTTAAACATTTGCCATCCAAAGTCCCACTCGTCAGCTCCACCTGAGGCAATAGCACTACAGTACACTGTAGACCTTAAGTTGGGGTGAATTCTGGAAAAAGAGATCTGAATTAGATTTATGTAATAATGTGGACAACCAGATTTTTTTTTTCCTGCCGTACAACATTGGATTGCTTGACTAGAAGACCGAAATACTGAGTGCTCTAATGCATGGGTAAACTCACGGGTTGTGGTTTGATTGGTCCATCCACTGTCTGTACCAGCCTGTAGTGAGATTTTGACACTCATCTACACCAGTGCTGCAGGCAAATCTAATGGCATTAACTTGATTGTACCTACACAAGGAAAATTATATGAATACATGCCAATTATTTATGACGTACCCCAATAAAGAAGATAAGTTCATTGGAACAAAATTTTGAGATGTCCTTATTGAGTTATGTATCACTTACTGGTCTGTATGGCCAGTGGGCACATGCAACCAATCTTCGGTAATAGTCTTAAAATGTTCAAAAAGGGGGGTCACCTGCTTCCTGGTGTAATTCTACAACAACAATAACAACAAAAACTGCTAAATTCATATTACTACTACTCTGAAATCAACATGCATATATTCAAGGAAAAATACGTTTATAGGTTTCAAATGCTAATATATATAAGAAGTATTAGAACAGACCTGTAAAAGTTCATAGACATCAGTTTGTGTAAACATAAGGTAAAAATAATCCAGGTTGTTCAGTGCAGACTGCCATGGCATGTATTCTCTTTCTTCAGATAAGTACTTTGTAGTTTTTAGGGCTAAAGTGACCGGAATTATCTTTGCCCTTGAAAAAGAATGATAATTAAGTATGCAACTGATTTAATTCAAATGTGCTTGCACAAATAAAATATACATATTATTATATCATATTATAGTTCACATCTAAATAAACTGTACCCCAATTCTCTTTATGTCTTTTTACCTCGCAAGGTTAAATGCATCATCCACTATCTGAGCTCTGTTGATGACTGGGACGGCCTTCAAAAAAATAAACCAAAAAGCGATAATTGTGGTGTCATTATTTTCCTGATTAATTAAAACTGGGTCTGTGATTTCAATCACATGTCTGTGTCTTTACCTCATGGTTCTCTGTCAGTTGATTCAGGAGACGCTCCCAGTTCTCAGTGTCATAGTTCACTCTGTAATATCCAGTGATGTTCAGATTCACCAGCACCCACTCATTTCCAGTTGCCTTCATATCAGAGTGAAAAGCTGCATATGAAAAGACAATCATGTTAACCTATTTATTACATAAAAATGTATACATCAAAATGATGAGCTTGTCCCAGTTATAGGAACAAACGACACCGTTGTGTTCATACCAGTTTTTTCTGTGAGCCAAAAGCGTGACTGTTCCACCTCTGCCTTCATCCAGTTGATGGGTACAATCCATTCATAACTATAAAATCAGAAAAATAGACATAACACTAAAGAAAACATCTAAAAACAACACAACCTGCTCAGGTAGCTTTAGAGATGAATTTAGACCTACTTGAATGGAGACTGCCTCTGTAATGAAGACTCAGGATCCAGAAGGAAGTGCATCTGAGAGACATGGCCTGTCGTAGTGTTGACTGTGACCACCGGGAAGCCCATTTGAAGAACCCAGCGGTCCATGATCTCTTTGACACTTAAGGGAAGAACTGTTCCAGTCTTATCAACAGCCTAGAGGTGGTAAATGAGAGTGATTAATCGACAGTACTGACAAACTTTTTGAGTTAGTTTGGATTTAGTCATTGGTAGTAAATATCAAATAATTGACTTGCTAATTATTAGTATGAGATTACAGGTTTTGATTTCTGATGCAACTCACAGTTTGAAGGTGATTCCACAGGTCCTCACCGACTGTATTTTGATAGGCGAACATGGTGAGATATGTCTTTTAGGGAGAAAAATAGCAGAAATATAGCAGATTCAAAACATGTATTTATATGGTGTAAAGTAACTGTATTGTAATTTGCTCACATTTAGGCCTTGCACGAACACAGGCTCGGTAAGGAAGTCTGACAGCATTCTCAACACCGACGCCCCCTAAAGGTTACCAGAGAAAAGAGTTTGATACTAGTAATGATCAATGTATTTCAAAGTGAAGGCTATCAAACGTACAGCACCTTGCTGTAGGAGACTGTATCAAACTGCTCAGTGATCTGCTCTGGTTTTATAATATCTTCCTCATTCGAAGACAGGGGATGGGAGGAGGCCAGAGCATCCACAGCAAAAACACGGTGTACGTCTTTAAGGATGATCAAGTCTTTCTGTGAGAGCAATAAGGGAGAAAGATAATAAATACGATAGAGTGCAATTAAATGTTGTTGTTTTTTTTCCTAAATCTTTTCTAATACATACAACGTTGAATTCTTATGATTAATATTTTTTTCTATATTATTACTATTATTTAAAAAAACCTATAGGTGACTTAAGCGACGCCAGGATTTTTTTATTAATTTCTTTATTTATTTTATTGTTAACTATTAGTGTGGAGACAAGTCACAAAAACAAAGATGTGTGGAGTTAAATCTCCGTGGGCCGCATTTCTGCGAAGGTAACGAACGTGTTTGCTTCAAATATTTAAAGGGTTAGTTCACCCCAAAATGAAAATCCTGTCATTAATTACTCACCGTCATGTCGTTCAAAACCCGTAAGACCTTCGTTCATCTTCGGAACACAAATTAAGAAAAAGAGTTTGATACTAGTAATGATCAATGTATTTCAAAGTGAAGGCTATCAAACGTACAGCACCTTGCTGTAGGAGACTGTATCAAACTGCTCAGTGATCTGCTCTGGTTTTATAATATCTTCCTCATTCGAAGACAGGGGATGGGAGGAGGCCAGAGCATCCACAGCAAAAACACGGTGTACGTCTTTAAGGATGATCAAGTCTTTCTGTGAGAGCAATAAGGGAGAAAGATCATAAATACGATAGAGTGCAATTAAATGTTGTTGTTTTTTTTCCTAAATCTTTTCTAATACATACAACGTTGAATTCTTATGATTAATATTTTTTTCTATATTATTACTATTATTTAAAAAAACCTATAGGTGACTTAAGCGACGCCAGGATTTTTTAATTAATTTCTTTATTTATTTTATTGTTAACTATTAGTGTGGAGACAAGTCACAAAAACAAAGATGTGTGGAGTTAAATCTCCGTGGGCCGCATTTCTGCGAAGGTAACGAACGTGTTTGCTTCAAATATTTAAAGGGTTAGTTCACCCCAAAATGAAAATCCTGTCATTAATTACTCACCCTCATGTCGTTCAAAACCCGTAAGACCTTCGTTCATCTTCGGAACACAAATTAAGATAATTTTGATGGAATCTGAGAGCTCTCTGACCCTACATAGACAGCAATGCAACTGAAATTTTCCCAGACAGAAACGTAGCAAGGACATCGTTAAAACAGTCCATGTGACATCAGTGGCTCAACTTCAATTTTGCGAAGCTACGAGAATACTTTTTGTGTGCAAAGAAAACAAAAATGATGACTTTATTCAACAATTCTTCTCCCCTGAGTTACTGTCTTCTGCCATTTTGGAGAGTACCCAAGAACGTAATCTGCGTTGTTTAGGTTAGAGGGGAAAGCATGCACATGAACGTAATCGGCGTAATCAGTGTTGTTTACACTTAGGGTAAAGCGTGCGTATGCGTTGTCATACTCTCCAAAATGGCAGAAGACAGTAACTCAGGGGAGAAGAATTGTTGAATAAAGTCATCATTTTTGTTTTCTTTGCACACAAAAAGTATTCTCGTAGCTTCGCAAAATTATAGTTGAGCCACTGATGTCACATGGACTGTTTTACCGATGTCCTTGCTACGTTTCTGTCTGGGAACATTTCAGTTGCGTTGCTGTCTATGGAGGGACAGAGAGCTCTCTGATTCCATCAAAATTATCTTAATTTATGTTCCGAAGATGAACGAAGGTCTTACGGGTTTGGAACGACATGAGGGTGAGTAATTAATGACAGAATTTTCATTTTGGGGTGAACTAACCCTTAAAATATTTGAAGCAAACACATTCGTTACCTTCGCAGAAATGTGGCCCATGGTGATTTAACTCAACACATCTTCATTTTTGTGACTTGTCTCCACACTAATAGTTAACAATAAAATTAATTAATTAATTAATAAAAAAATCCTGGCGTTGCTTACGTCACCTAGGTTTTTTGAACCGATGTCCTTGCTATGTTGCTGTCTGGGAACATTTCAGTTGCGTTGCTGTCTATGGGAGGGTCAGAGAGCTCTCACATTCCATCAAAATTATCTTAATTTGTGTTCCGAAGATGAACGGAGGTCTTACGGGTTTGGAACGACATGAGGGTGAGTAATTAATGACATAATTTTCATTTTGGGGTGGACTGACCCTTTAACGGCTAAACGCCTGTTTTGTCCTATGAACATGAAATTAGTTTAATGGAATAATAGGAAGTACACTTTAAATGTAAATAAATGATGTAAATAAAAGTTTATGACTGGTAAATGTTGTTTTAGTTGACCAACCATTGGCAGGTGCAGTAAGTCCATTAAAAGTTCATTAGTTTGTGAACACTCACCACGTTCCACGATGGTTCAGCAAAGTCTGCACCAAGATATGATACATAAGACGCGAAACCTTCATTTAACCAAACTTCATTCCACCACTTTAGAGTCACAAGGTTGCCAAACCACTGACCAAGAACACAAACAAGTCATAATATTATTATTTTACACATCTTATAGTTATATATCATATTTTTATAAATGCGAGTACCATGTGTGCCAGTTCATGGGCTATAATTGTGGCCGTTCTCTCTTTGTTTGCATTAGAGGAGATGACTGGATCATATAGAAGGTTTGTCTCCCTGTACGTCACCAGACCCCAATTCTCCATCGCCCCAAAGTAAAAATCAGGCAGGGCAATCTGGTCTTCAAGGTAGAGAATTAAAAATGCTTGTATATTATTTTTTACCCCAGACAATATTCTTCAAGAGATGATTTAGATGTTTAAACACACCTGATTTTGAGAGTGGATATGGTACACTGTAATAGTTTTCAAAAAACTTGAGGATTGGCCCAGTTTTATTCAGGGCATAATCACCATGGCCGTCCTCGATGGCTTTCTTACGGGCCCATATTCGTATCTGTTCAGAGCAAACATAATTTAGTCATATGCACCATGAGTATATATGCTGTAAGGCACACTTTGTGGTCAATAAATGTGAGATTTTTATCTTTTAAAACAGCTGTACAGCTCATGAAAGACGAATAATGGTCGTACCAAGGTGTCATTCGCTGATGTAACATTTGTATAGTCACTGACAACCAGTGCCAATAGATAGGAGGACATGTTCTTTGTGGGTTCAAATGTTGTCATCGTAACAGGTTGTCCATCAAGAACAGTGTCAACTTTCTCTGAATGAGGAAAACAAGCAGTAAATTAAATTTTATTTTATCTATCTATCTATCTATCTATCTGATGATTTCCAACATGTCTTTAGAAAGCAGGCAGAGATTTAAAACTTTTTATTTTCGTTTTTGTCTGAAATTTTTATACAGATGCTCTAGAGACCCCTATTTATAGAAATCAATTTTCTAGTTCACATTACCTTACTTAAAATAGTCGGCATGTGTGAAAAGAAACTGTTATTGGTAGAACTGACCGATTTCCATTCCATTCGAGAGGGCCACGGTTCCTCTGTCATGAATGAGAGTGATGTAGAAAACCGCTCTCATTGCAGGCTCATCGAAACATGGAAAGGTCTTGCGAGCATGTGTGGGATGCATCTGGCTGGTGGCTACTATCCTGGAGGAAGTAATTATTGTTATATCACAAAGATATAGTGCTCGTAACACCAACGGTAGGTACAGACCATAAAATAAGCGCTGGGTTATTAGTATGCCATTTTGGGAAACAGTATGTATTTTCTCTGTCCAACCAACGTTTACATGATGATTGAAAAATCTTGTGGATATTATGTAATGCCCAAACACACACATAAAAAATGCTTTATGGATCCACTAAGTAATATTCCATGTTTATATGGTGGTACAAAGGTTAAACAGGCATAAAGCTGCCAAGAGACTTATCAAACAAACATGTGACCTGCCAACTGCAATAGCCTTGATGCTGATCTTGTTAGCTCTGATATTTCATCCATAAGAGTTCCTGACTGGTTTTATTGAAGATCTGTGTTCATATCTTTAAAATGATAGTTGGACTTACTTTTTCTCTCCATTCTCCTCATATTCACTTCGGTAGAACCCTGCCAGGTCATCTGCAAGTTCTCCCACAAACTCTGTGTAAAGCTCATAGAGCTCTCCAGCTTTCAGCGTGCCCTTCAACTGTATGACAAGGTACTGCGTCGTCTCCTGCATCCAGGTTTTCTGAATTGAGGGCGCTACTGAGGTACCAAGCGCAGAGAGTTTGGCCAGATATCCATCTATTGAGGTCAGGTTTAGCTTATTGGAGTGAATGAGGATGAGGTCGGTCTCCCTCAGACATTTGAAGACCACGCTGGAATTTCCAGTGAATACAAAGAGGCCGTGAATGTTTGGCTGGAGTCGAGGCCAGAGCGTGATGTTGTAGTAGTCTGGAACCAGAGTGTCTGGTAGACGATGCTCGTTCCAGGGCTCAGCAGGAGGTTCTGTAGAAGGAAGGAGTTGAGCGGTCCACAAACCAACAATGGTGGCCAGTGATGCCATCCCCAGGAAAGTGCATCCAACGCACATTGCACTAAAATGGATTCTCAACATGTTCCCCTTCACCACTGGTCAGCAAAGATCAGACCAAACCGTGATGGCATTTTATTTATTCTTCCCACCTTCTCTCCTCCCAAAGGGATTAATGGCTCATCCATTAACACTGAGACTAGCCAGTGAAAAAATCTGGTAACCTGATAAGTTGAGGTGCACTGAGATAATATATTATGGCATGCGTCTTCCCTGACATGTTTATGCAGCCATTAATCTTTAGTAGAATGTGACGCTGAGCATCGTGGGAAAAAGCTCAGAAAAACAAGCACAGGGGCATCACAGCAATGAAATTATCTAATGTAATCCAAAATGTTTTCAGTCAGTGGAACGGTTTATGTTTTTATTAGGCCATATTCGGCATTGGTAACCATCTGGAAAACTTTGTGAGGTATTATCAGACATCATAACATTATGACTCGCTAACAAATGACTGCAAGTTTTTTTTTTGTCTGATATGAAATTAGACGAGGCTATTTACTGACTGGTTGTTCAAATGACAACATGTAATTAAAGATACATATTCACAATATAAAAATGATAATGGATTGCATAATGGAATGCATTAATACAAACGAATTACCAAAAAAATGGTTATTGTTTACCATCCATAGGATACTGTAACATATTACAGTATACATATAACACAAAGTACTATAGCACAAAAGTTGAAAAATACAATTTACTTCATGGATTGAGGTTTTTATTTTCATTAGACAAAATACCAAAATGATAAATACAGAAGAGTTCTGTACTATTTGCATATTCAGTTCTGTTTTATTCTACAAAGTTATTTTATCATTATACAATTTATTTTTTTACAAAAAAAGAAAAGGGAAAACAGACAATTATAAAGCGCGCCTTAAAGAAAGAGATATTTGTATACTGTACATCATCATAGGTAAGAAAGCTGCTCTGGAATATATTGGGATTTAGAACATCATCCATAATAAATAATCATTTCCTTTAACGCTCATCTAGGCCAAGCAAAACAATGTCCCAGTGTTCCTCTCCTCCTCAGAGCAAACAAACTACAGTATGTGCATCATTCAGAGTTATGATGGCTTTTTGAACCATTCTAAGACTGCTTCTTGGTTCTTTTCGACCCATTTGATGTTGGCATTAGTCCTCTCGATGGATTGTTCAATGGCAAGGGTTCCTGAACCGAAACCTATGTGAGTGTTGTCATCTCTGAACTGTATCAGCTGTGTTTATAAACAGGACAGTAGATTAAGAAACATTCAAATGTAAGTATCTGCTGTACAAGATGACAGTCAAATAAATTAAGCAGTCCTGGGGAAGATCGCATACCTGTTGCAATTCAAATTGAGTTGAGAATCTCTTTGTGACGCCATTGATCAGATTGGAGAAAGAGAAAGATCCACCTCCATACCTAATGGAGAATAAAAGAAGTGGATGTGCAGTTATAGAAAACTGCTATCTGCATTTTTAAGCAAATAAAATCATAAGCCACAAAAAAATGTTCTTACTGTTTGTAAATGTACTCCCAGTTGGCTCTAACAAAATCCCAGGCCAACGGTTGGCCGACCACATTGCTTGCAATGCTGATGATGGTAGAGGTGGCATCTTGTTTGCGAATCTTTTCTGGATCCAAAGTGTATTTGAGATACCTACCACATAAATCAAAGCACATGTCTTTAGCTAAATACAATGAGAACTGTATGCATTTGTCAGCATTAACCTGCAGTGAGCTCACCTGTTCAGTAACCAGGGCTCAGTGGCACATGCCATTGCAGCTCTCAGCTTGTCTTTCTCTGAAGCAATAGTAGCATTTTCAAACATCTCCCAAGCAAAGTTCCACTCCTCCTCACCACCTGCTGCAATGGCACTGCAGTACACTGTGGACCTCAAGTTGGCCTTAATACTGAAGCAGTGAGAACATTTAAAAATCACAGTTAAATGGTAGTCTATTAATTTAAGGTAATAAGCTTACAATCTATAAAATTACAAAAGTACTGAAAAACTGCAAGGACTCATGGAACAAAATAGAGTGAGTGAATGAATCAATGAAATATTTAAATGTACCAGGCGTCCAAAATAACTGTTTCGGAAAACGTTTCTGAGTATAATTCATCACACTACAGATATGTTCTAATAATGTTTGCAGCCAAAATGTGTCTAAATACTTTTTGGTTTACATTTTAAAATATTTTGTAACATATTTATTGCTTTATACTTTATACTATTTAAAATCTTTTGTTTTGTGAAATTTATCCTGTATCCAATGCAGTGACATTCCAACCCGATCTCATGAAAGTGTGTATAAATAGTACGCCAAATAAAAACGAAAACTCGTGGTATTGATATGCAAAAATTGACTTTGGCATGCATATGCTACGCGATGGGTAGGTTTAGGGTTGTGGGGTCATCATATGTACATGAAAACTGCGTATTATATGCACGCCAAACACATGCGTATCATATGCACGCCAAAGTCCATTTTTGCGTATCAATATCACGAGTTTTCCTTTTTATTTGGCATACTATTTATACGCATTTTCATGAGACCGGGCTCGACATTCAGACAGTTTTAAGTGCGACTAAAAATATCCAAATATGGGCAACTTTAAAAGCCTAAGGACGAAATAAAATTGGATAAACTAAAACTGATTGCCAATAATATTAAACAGGATATCTGTGATTATTATAAACATCGGCAACATTTATAATAATAGTAATCTTATAAAACTAAGAAGTAAATAGTCTGCATAAATATACATTTTAACTATGATGCACTCAGGAAACATAATTACATACTCTCCAAGATTTCTACTGAGTGAAACTCACAGGTTGACATTTGGATTGGCCATCAACTGTTCGAACCATCCTGTGATTAGAGTCTTACAATCTTCATTGCCAGTGCTGCAGGCAACTCTGAGTGCATTTATCTGATTGTATCTGCAGATACAAAGACATGAATACAATGAATAGATGTTTGAGAGCAATCTGAGCATTTATTGTCACTACTCTATATTTACATGTCGACTTACTGGTCAGTATGTCCTTTAGGCACATCTTCCCAATTTGTAAGCCTTGTGAAGTAATCAAACAAATCTTGCACCTGTCTTCCAACGTACGTCTGCAGGTATGAAAAAATGTGATGTTAGAATTCAAGCTCAGTTGCGTTGACATTCTGAAATATTCAGAGACAAACTTACCTGCATCGGGCCGTACACCTCTGTGCGATCAAACATTAGGTAAAAGTAGTCCAGGTTATCGAGAGCAGCCTCCCACGGCATGTACTCAGTTTCAGAGTTTAGGAAAAGTGTGGTTCTTAGAGCCAATGTTGTTTCAATAATTCCTGCTCTGTAAAGGGAAAAGATGCTATTTAGCATTTGGACTGACTGAAATCACACTAATAACTTTAAAGAAAGAAGTTCAGATCTTACTTGGCCAAGTTAAAAGCATCATCAATTAACTGCGCCCGGTTAATAACTGGAATGCTCTAAATGAAATCAAATGAAAACAATTACTGTTGATTATTATGCTGAACAAAAAACAATCCAAATCTTGCTCTAAGTAACAATGTTATGATGTCTAATTTAATAAATGTAATTCTTTTTACCTGTCTTGAATTCTGGAGTGCATTAAGTAGGCGTTGCCAGTTATCATTATCATAGTTAACCCTGTAGTATCCTGTTACATTGATGTTGGCCAGAACCCATTCATCAACACTTATTTTCATGTCGTTCAATTGGTCTAAATTAGAAATGTAGAGCAGAAATACATGGATTTGTTAAAGCAAGTACAGTATTGTCCTGTATTAACATTGAATGATAATTTGCGAATATAATCACATGCAAAGTTAACTAAAGCATGAGAAATCTGTCCTCATGATTTTCTTTTCTCTGTGGAACATGAAGAAATTTAGTAGAATGTTCTTTTTTTTCTAATAGTTATGTCATTGTTATATATCATATGCTTTCAGATGATTTGCAATATAGCATACAAATAGTATGGACTGCTTTTATTTCGCTTTTTTGGAAATAAAAGTCTCCATTCACTGTCATTGTATGGAACAGAACAGTTTGAGCATTCTGCTAGACTTCTACTTTTTGGTGTTCAACATCAGAAACAAAGTCATAAGGATTTGGAATAACATGAATATGTAATGACAGAATTATAATTTTTGGATGATCTATCTCTTCCACAGGAAATATAACTGTGATCGTTATTGTCACTGTCATCTTAAAACTCACCAGTTTTCTTTAGCAGCCAATATAGGGGTTGTGCTACTTCTTTCTTTGTCCATGAAATTGGTACAAACCACTCATAACTGAAAAATGAAGCATATTGTGATATAGTAATTCCACATTTCAGCAGAACTTTGTGATTCATTCTTAAGTAGGATTGATATAATAAGTTGGCATGTAAAGATAATTCATTATAAATGTATATTATTGATCTAATTGTGAGCAATTCATCTGTGCATATATTTAATAAAAAAATCTTGTCATTTTTAATCAGAATGTCAGCTCAATCTTCTGGTGAAACTACAAACTTCTCTCTGGTGATGTATGCTGGAGTTCTCCAATCAATTAGTCTGTTTTAACCCCTCCTATTTCTTATAATCGACTGCAATCTCACATTCAGCTAATCTGCTCCATCCAATCAACAACTGATTGACAGAATCAAGTCCCCATCCTTTCATCCTGGGTTTTTTTTCTTCTCGGTTGTCTGTTTTGCTCAAATGTATGTCACAATATGGAAGAAAAGATCTCTCGCTACTTCAGTTTCATATGAAGTAGACTTTAAAGTATCTAGTAAACCGTAAAAAAAGTAACCTTTTTTTTTTCTTTCAAAATACTTTTTGACGTACTTAAATTCTGATGTCCTGTCTGGTTTAGATTCAGGGTCCAGGAGGAAGTGCTCCTGTGTGATCTGGCCAGTTGTAGTGTTAATAGTGACCACGGGGAAGCCCATTTGAAGAACCCAGCGGTCCATAATCTCTTGCACAGACTTGGGAAGACTGGTGCCGGTGCCGTTCACAGCCTATAACATTTCATATATGAGCATGTTTTCTGTGGCAAAAAAATTGGATAATGACATGACTGAACAGCATTGTTTAATTGCACCATACCAGTTGAAGATGGTGCCAAAGGTCTGTATACACTGTGTTGCTGAATTTAAAATAGTCCAGGTAAGTCTGTTTAAAAAAAAAATAGTTGTGAATGTACAAAAGCATTCTCCATCGCAAAAGCATGTTAAATTTTTATTGTACAGCACAACAAGGAATAGTGTACAAAGGGTTTTTACCTGGAGGCCTTGGGTAAACACTGTCTCAGTCAGAAAATCCGATAACATCCTAAGTACTGACGCCCCCTAGAGAAAGAGACTCTACATTACCAGACAAACCACATGTAGTCTGTATGTTCTTCATTATTAGACATTATAGTTAACGTAGCAAACAGTTCCCACACTACCTTACTGTAGGAAATCGTATCAAACACTTCGTTGATTTGCTCTGGTCTTTGGATCTCCTCTTCTTTAAACGACAAGGGGTGAGATGAGGCCAATGCATCTATGGCGAAAACTCGGTGCACATCATTAAGAACGATCAAATCTTTCTGGGAGATAGAAATAGAAGAGTCAGTTATGATTTAATCTGCTCTTTGTGATAGCTTGTAGCATTTACAGTTTATCACTGTGGCTTTGGCTTCAGACACTCACAACATTCCAATCCGGCTCAGCATCATCTGCTCCAAGATATTCTACATAAGATGCAAAACCTTCATTGAGCCACAGGTCATTCCACCACCTGAGAGTCACAAGATTTCCAAACCACTAAAAAAGAAAGAGGAAGATGGTAATTTGCAGGGGTTATAAACTTTAAAGTTGTGAAGTAACTTCTGGAAAGCATTTCCCATTTAGGGTTCAAATTGGAAAAAGGGACTCCTGATTATACCTGATGGGCAAGTTCATGGGCAATAATAGTAACGATACTCTCTTTGTTTCCATTGGAGGATATTTCTTCATCGTACAGCAAGGCTGTCTCTCTGTATGTGATTAAGCCCCAGTTTTCCATTGCACCAGCGTTGAAGTCTGGCAGAGCGATTTGATCTGTGCAATATTTTGAAGAATGAGTAAAACTTCTAAAAATGGCCTAAAAGTTTTAAGCATTCACCTAATCTTACTTAAATTGTCATTTCGATAATAAAACGATTTAATTGCCTCATAAAATATAGGTCATATCATAGGTTCTTACCTGATTTGGGCAGCGGATAGGGGACATTGTAATATTTCTCAAAGAATTTGAGAATTGGTCCAGTCACATTGAGTGCATACTCCCCTTGTCCTGCATTTATGGCTTCTTGACGGGCAAAAATTCGGATCTGTTTGTATCAATTATAGAATGTTGTGTTTTAGTAGATGAACATGTTGTTTTCTAATCTTTGCTAAATTAGGTAGGGCTTAGGGCAGTAGGTTTCATTATTAAATTGGTGGAATTTTGTCTGAAGATCCTCTGAAAAGATAAGTTACCTGCAGTTTATCAGTGTTTTGTTCAATGAAGCCGAAATCGCTGACAATAAATGCCAACAAATATGTCGACATGACTTCTGTGGGCGCAAATGTTGTTCTGGTTACAAGAGTGCCATCCGCTGTGACGTTAACCTCATCTGAAAGTCGAAAAGAGACACTGAATGATGAACCACTGAACATTGAATTTTCTTGAAGTCAGTTTGAAGGAATAATGCAAACTTGTTCATCAGAAGTAAACTACTTTATCAAACAAGTAGCTGTATAGGGCAACCAAACACTACATTGCTGTTTTTAAGCTAAAGGAATAATCAAACTTTCTAACTCGCATATAATTTTATTATATAATATAATTTACCCATTCAAATTTGAATTTCACACCAGTCACACTAATTGAGATAGTTGAGTTTGTTCATGCAAAATCCCTCATTGTTTTTGAATTAGCAAAATATGGTTCTGATTAAATGATGAATGCATAACCGTTATGTTACATTTTATAATTATAAAGATATATGGTCCCCTTAAGTAACTTCAGTGTAGCTACTTTTTGTTTGTAGCTGTTAGTATAGCTAACTACTTTTTCAAAGCCGTAACTTCACTGTAGTTTAACTTTTTCATATTATGATTAACTTAGCAAGCTACACTTTCAAATTAGCTTCCCCAACACTGCTCCTGTACAGAATAAAGTGTTCATTTACCTATCACAACACCATTGGAGAGGGCTATGGTTGCTGGATCATGGTAAAGAGTGATGTAGAATACCGCTTTCATTGCAGGTTCATCAAAGCAAGGGAAAGCCTTCCTGGCGTCTGTTGGCTGCATCTGGGTTGTGGCGACCACTCTAAAAAACAACAAGGAGATTTAACTATATATGAAAGGCCTTTTCTTGAATAGGAGGAACTGACCAGATGAATCAACTTCTTACTTCTTCACTCCAGACTCATTGTATTCACTTCGGTAGAAGCCTCCCAAGTCATCTGCAAGCTCGCCTATAAATTCTGTGTAGAGCTCGTAGCTTTCCCCAGCAGCTAATTCATCTTTCAGATGAATTGCCATATACTGCGTTTTTGTGTGCATCACAATTGATTCAATGGTAGGAGCTGGCTTGCTTCCAAGTGCCGTCAAGGTGGGTTGCTTTGTCATGTTCAGCTTATTAGAGTGAATGAGGATGAGGTTTGTCTTTTCCTCACATCTGAAGGCCACGCTGGACATCCCTGTGAAGATGTAGAGTCCGGTTGGATCTGGCTTGAGCCGTGGCCACAGAGTGACATTGTAGGTTTGTGGACTAAGAGTCTGAGGAAGGCGCCACTGGTCCCATGGTTCATTGGATGGTGTAGCTGTTGGAGCTGATGTTGTGGCATCTGGGGGTTGAACCTCATTCTCGTTCTTGGACTTCTCTTGGGAGTAGACCACCGAGAGAGCGATGATTGTGGCTAGCGCTCCAGCGCCTAACACAATCCCTACTATCCCGACAGTTTTACTGATGTGGAAACCCTTTCCCATGCTTTAGCAATGACAGGATGAGAGGAGTGAAACTGACATATGCTCAACATTTTATTTAAGGCATGGGAAGATTCTCCTCCCACATGAATTAATGGCTCATCCATTAACACAGCACAGCTCCAGTGTACTGTACAAGAGGGCATCTGGAACCTCAGGGTTTCAGAGGGTCATTGATACTAGGGTAATCATGGTCCCCTTAAGTAACTTCAGTGTAGCTACTTTTTGTTTGTAGCTGTTAGTATAGCTAACTACTTTTTCAAAGCCGTAACTTCACTGTAGTTTAACTTTTTCATATTATGATTAACTTAGCAAGCTACACTTTCAAATTAGCTTCCCCAACACTGCTCCTGTACAGAATAAAGTGTTCATTTACCTATCACAACACCATTGGAGAGGGCTATGGTTGCTGGATCATGGTAAAGAGTGATGTAGAATACCGCTTTCATTGCAGGTTCATCAAAGCAAGGGAAAGCCTTCCTGGCGTCTGTTGGCTGCATCTGGGTTGTGGCGACCACTCTAAAAAACAACAAGGAGATTTAACTATATATGAAAGGCCTTTTGTTGAATAGGAGGAACTGACAAGATGAATCAACTTCTTACTTCTTCACTCCAGACTCATTGTATTC